TTTGACTGGATATTGGGAGTTTTGACTGGATATTGGGAGTTTTGACTTGATATTGGGAGTTTTGACTTACTTTTCCTTCACATGAATTTTAATGAGAAAATGTAGTGAAGAACTTGTTTACAGATGACACCTGAGGTTCCATGCTTTCAAAAGCACGTGTTCAAACCCTGGAGATGCCTGAGCTCATCCCTGCTCCCTCTCCATCCAAAGCAGACCGACCTTGTCCGTCAGGCTCCGCTTCTCTCTGCGATCGTTCTCATCGACCTCCATGTTTTCAATTCCTGAATCCACATCAACCTGGGACATACTGCAAGTGGAAATAAGAGAAGAAGCCTGTAAGATGCTGACTGAAGGAGTGTCCCCTTAAGTAGAAGCAGCAGAGAACCCAATGCACAAACAGCAATTAAAATCACTGCTTGATAAATGCTTCTCATGTTACATTTATTTCGAGTTCAAGCATTGTAATTCCTTCAGCAGGCAATACACAGCCATCACATCCCATAACTTCTTTTTTAAGCAGAGCAGCTGAATTATCCCCCCCAGACACACTCATCTCTTAATGTCTAAGATAATGCTTTATCTTTTACCACTTTAGGTCAGGAATTCCCATCAAAGCCAGACTAAACCAAGCATTACAGTGGTCTGAACAGCGTGTGATTTTGAAGCATTAAGCCCTACTGCATTAACACAGCTGGGAGGGAGAAAGGGCAGAGCCTTGGCCTGGGAAGAGGTTTGACCATCAGCATTGTGCCATATTTGCTGGCTTTTACAAGCTGCATTTGTTACCTTTTCTCACAGGAGACACTATCAATGTCCATGCTCTGGGACCGAGAGAGAGACTGGGATTGGGTTTCAAGGCTGTTGGATGGAGAACTGCTGAGGGAACTCACTCCTTCGCTGCTCTGGCTTCGGTGGGCTACTCCTAAAGAAAAGGCACCACCAAGGTGTTACTACAGAGGTGAGAAGGCACCACACGTTATTTGGATGGAAAAGGAGAGGAAATGCTGTTTTTCAATCCAGTTGTTAAGTGTTCTTAGTAATGCATGAGGAAATAAATGTTAATAATATTCAGTTAACTACAGGTAATCATGTTTGCTACCTCCCCTTGCAGCAGCAATGTAGGAATGCTTACCTGCATTAAACACAAAACAAAGTTAATTTGCATCCATGGGGAGCTCAAGAGATTCACTCCCTTAAAAACTCACCTTTCATAAGATTGCTCTGTCTACTTCAGACCTTGTCAAAGCCCCCTGAACTCTGTCCTATCAGAACAGGACTTTGGGCCATTACAATGGAGTTAACTCGGGTTAGGGTACAGGACAGGCACACTCTAACAATTTACTGGGAAATTATCAGTACTTTTCCTTCTCCACAAGAATAAAATAAGCATCCAAGAAGTCCTAACAACATGTACCAAGTGTAACACCACCACCATCATGACTTTGGAGGAGGGCTGATGTGTGTCAGGGGATGAACAGATGGACTCCCTTTGCAAGGGAGACTTCTCCACAGAGGTGTTAGACACCAGCATGGTAGGAGGGAATTTATATCTGTAACTCCAAATAAAGCAGAACAAGCCTTGCATTCAGTAACAAGGGTTATTGGTGAGTAACTTTAGGGCCATAGCTGGGTATTATCATTCATAAACAACATTTTTGAGCCCATTGGGTGTTCAGTGTGAAAAGAACAGAGATTGGAACTGAGATCCTCCATTAACTACCTATTTGCCAATATTAAATGTCTGCAAAAGATTTCACCCAGATAGCAAGAAAGAGTCAAGAAAAAACTCAATTTCAGTTCTAAATGCCTATTTCCTGCAGTCCTGGAATTCTGGTGATGCACACTACAGCTGTGACACTGAGGTCTTGCAGGAGGCACAGCCCCAAAGCTCAGCACCACTTCTGCCCAACACCAAGGAGATCCAGACATCAAGGGTAGTGTCTGAGCTGAGCAAGGCTGCTCAGGTCAGTCAGGTTAAATAAAAGCAACTTTCAACAGCAGAACTTTAAGGATGCAGATTCCCCGGGGGATAACACCCAGCAGCACTACACTGCCAGTGGTAAGGAAAGGCTGAAGTCAGCAGGGAATTCCAGCACGCAGCTGATTTAAGATATCCCAGTCACAGCCTTGTTTTACTTTAGGACATCATCAATTACAAAGAGACAATATTCCTGGAGTTCTTCATCTCTCCTCTTCCCCCAAAAAATCTGGCTAAGTCAGTGGATAGAGAGACCAGAGCAAACATGGCTTACCAGGGCAAAGGACTGCATTGTTCTGCATTCCCTTGGGGTCTGACTCTCACTGCCAGGAAAATGTGCTTTAACAGTGATGCTGCAGCTCTCATTCCCAGGCCCCCTCAATCCTACCCACCACCTTTTCACACAAATCTCCCAGAATTTACTTGGATCTGAACTTTGCTGGATCAGGCACACAATGAAATACCTGACACCTAAAGTTCCAGTTGTCACTGATACACTGTCTTTAGGTTCTTCAAAATATTTTCAAAATACATACAAAATAAGGATCATCTTTTCCATTAAATTGGTGCCTAAGTCTGATCTCACCATGACAGGCAATTCTTGAGAACAATGGATGCTTACAAGGACACCATTCTGCTGGGGCTGCTCTGTATGTCCAAATGAATTAAAATCCTCTGCAGTCACTTTATGCTGCTGAAAGGAACTGCTGCAAACCACACAGCATTAGCTGAGTCTTCATTTATGCTACATAAACACAGCAGATAATCTGTTACGGAGAGTTTTCCCTCATCCATTCCCCAATTTAACCCCATCTCTCACCCTGGTGTGAAAAAAGACACATATTATTAAAAAGCTGCAATGAAGGCACTGTAGGAAGCAAAAACTATAACTTCTGTTTCTGGTCATCAGCCAATCTGGTCTGCACAGTCAGGAACTGCCCAGATGGTTCTTAAAACAGAAATCACCCAGGTCTTCACTATCCAACCACCCCAAACCATGATAAACCTGTCAGCCAACACCTGGGCAATTCTTCCTTCAGATACACCTTTCCACACCCCCTGCTCTGTTGGCATTATTGTTTATCCAGTTGTGCACTAGGATGGATCAGGATCTCATCTGTTTGAAAACCAAACATTTATTTTTCCTGGGTTAGTTTTCACTTGGATTAAGTCCACGACCCACCTTGCCACAAAGCTACTACAGACAGCAGAGCAAGAAATACTCCTTTCAGCAAGAGTCCAACCTAAGATGGATTAAAATAGTCGTGTAACCACAGGCTGAGGGATCACAGGGAGTGAACTCTACACTGTTCTTAAAAAAAAAAGTCACCTCTGCTGCTGGGTTGCTGTCTGTAATCATGAGGACAATACAGAGTGTTAAATTCCATCTGCAATGAGATTTTTCTCAGGAAAAGCTTCTGATAGCTTTTCTCTGTCCTGCTTTGGATACAAGGCAAGAGAACAAGCAGGAAGGAGTCACCCCTAGGTATTTCTGAACAGCACTGTAACTAAACTACAAGACTTAAGCTTGTAAATTACCCTATTTGCCAAAGGGAAAAACATGGCATTTCAGAGAGCAAATAGGTAAAGGATAAAGAATTGTGCAAGCTTATTAGAAATCATATTGAAAAGTTGGTTAGAACAATCCTGATGTTTGTTTTGTGATTGGTTTTGTGAACCTCTCAGCTGAGAAACAACAGGCAAAACAATTCAGGTTTTCAGATAAAGACCACAGTACTGGTGAACACGCTAATTTGTTCTGATTTTTAAGACAGACGACTTGAAATCAAACTTTTTTAAGTCAAATGTGTTATAAATATAAGAATAGTCTTCACCTGTCTGCAGAGCAACCCTCCCAACTTCCCCTGCTTGCTGCACTTGTCTGATTTTAACAGATCAGCTCTTATTTGCATCTTCTGAAATAAATACCATTTGTAAGCATCCTGCTTGTATTCACTCCAGTAAATAGTGAATTGGGAAAGTAATACAAAGGAGAAAGCAAATACTTCATTCTTACACTGACCATGCACAGTCACAGCCCTGCTATTTTTAATTGTGCCGAATGCTCGTAATTAAAGATCAAAAATGAACTTGGGACTGATTGCTAAAATGCACCTAGAAACCAATCAATAAAAACTGTGTCGCAAAACCAGAAAGGGATTTTTCCTGTCTCCTTGACATATCTTTTCCCTAACATTGTGCAATATTAAACTGTATCACGAGCTTTGGTAACCCACACTTTAAATGCCACGAGTTTATTTACCACCTGGAAAACAACTGTGAATGGAATAAATGGAAAACCATCTATTACTTGGAAAATGAAAACAAAAAGTACCCTCAATCACTGTTTCTGAGAGTCACTTTTAACAGCAGCAGAACTGAGCCCAGTGCCAGTGTGTGCTCTGAAGAGAAGGGGGTGTGATGAAGATGAAGGAGTGTGTGATGAACGGGAGCAGTGAGGTTTGGTCTCGAGGTGCAGCCTCACCTGATGCACCGATTGGAGAGGTAGCTGGGGTCATGCTGTGGACATTTAGGCCCAGGCTGTGGGAGGGACCCGGGGCTGGTGCCACCACGGGAGGCCCCGGGGGGGTCTCTCTCTGCGGGGACGTCAGGGGGGTGGTGGGCTGGGACGAGGACCCTCCTGCCAACCGCGCCAGGCGCCGCCGCCGGATCTGCACAGGAGAGAATAGACCAGATGAACACCTCTGTGTGTACCCACAGCTGCACAGGGAACAGAGAACAAACCAGATGAACAACACCTCTGTGTGCACCCACATCTGCACAGGAGAGAACAAACCAGATGAACACCTCTGTGTGCACCCACAGCTGCACAGGGAACAGAGAATAAACCAAATAAACACCTCTGTGTGCACCCACATCTGCACAGGGAACAGAGAATAAACCAAATGAACACCTCTGTGTGCACCCACATCTGCACAGGGAACAGAGAATAAACCAGATGAACACCTCTGTGTGCACTCACAGCTGCACAGGAGAGAACAGACCAGATGAACACCTCTGTCTGCACCCACAGCTGCACAGGGAACAGAGAACAAACCAGATGAACACCTCT